TGACGGCGCTCACCCGAGAGTCACCGCACAGCAGGATTCAGCGTGGCTGACAGGACGCGCTTGATAGGTGGTGCACTCGCGTTTTCGCTTTTTCTGATGTGTTGAGCAACATTATGTCAGTGAAGTTTTCCCAACCGAGAAAAAAATCAAAATCTAATTGGCTGAAGAGAAATTCGCAATAAATCGAACTGTTTGAAAGAGAAAGAGAGTAGTACCGATACATACTTTATTGGAACATTAGTCTAAAATTCTGATCTTTTTCGAGGTCCTCAATTTTTTCAGTCTACACTTGTAATAGGTAAGGGCTCAGCTTTGACAAACTGCTACCGAAAATTGTTTGTGCAACAAGTATATGGATGAGTATTAGCTGATTCGATGTCCTTGTCGTTTGTGCAGTTGCGAAGATCTCTTTCTCAGCTCCCTCTATTTCATTTAAATATGTGCAACTCGAAGCAAGAAATGTAAACAACATGCCATGTTTGCTGACTTCCATTTGCAACTCACAACAGTGAATGTCTTTTGAAAATGCATACATACGTAATTAACAGTGACAGCGAGCGAAAAAACACCCTTGAAATTACTTTCACTCTTCGAAGACTGCAAGAGAAAGATGGAGTAGAACTCATTTCAAGTCTTAATTGAATAGAATTATGATGCAGTAGTTTGGATGAAAGAAAGATGGTTGTCTTTTTTATTGTTTATTTAAGAGCGTTCGTTGAAAGAACTACCAACACGAACGATGAATGATCAAAACATGCAGTTTCACTTTCTTGCAGAATAATGTGAAGGCAATGTTTCTAGTGGAACTCTGTAGTATAATATGGATTTAGTTGAGTAAGATTCAGGATTATACTAGCATTCACGAAGAAAGGTTGGATTTTGAAAAAGCTGATTGAATACAATTTGAGCAAGTCAATTTTATGAAGATAGTGTCCTGTTCTGGGCGAAACACCTATTTTATTTTTGAACTGAGGTTTAGCCTAAAGCTTCCATTCCAAAACCAATTTTGGATACAAAAAATGTCACTTTACCCAAAGTTCGAGAAAACTCCTACACCTTCACTGTAAAATTTTCCACAGTACTTTATGAATCGAAGCACCCACACATGATACTTTATGGATCCATGTATGGGACTTTAGGTAGGAAAGGTGATGGTTTTATGAAATTTTGTCACTGCTGAACTGCTGCACACAGTTATTTTAGCTCACATTTTTCACCGGCAAAATCAAATGACCTCATATTTTGGATTTATCTATGGCTTGTCTGGACATTTCATTTGGATAAACAAAACCGAAAAAATTTTCGGCGACTTTCTGATAATTTAGGGTGATCCTCTGGCGAATCATCTCTCGATGTTTTCTTTAATGCTTTCAACCAATTGAATGTTGACTAGTGAGCAATCGAAATTTTGCGAGCGAGCATAGAAAAAGAAGACGCAAGAAACGAAAACAGAAAAAGATGCGTAGTTCCATAACAAAGAAAATCAATCGTTTTTCATTAAAACATCTCTTCTCAATTTAACCAAATCGAGATTCAAAAAAATCCCTTTCTTCAACTTTTTTTCATACGATGATCGAATTCATGTTTATTCTTGTTTTCTTTTTGTCAAACCGTACATCGAAGGTTTATTCAATCATTGAATTCAATGTGTGAAAAATATTTTTCATTTGTTTCCTTGTCCACGATGCAAACGTTCAAACGACAATCGATTATTCAGCGAAAGAATCCATTGTGACAATTCACTACCTTTTAAAATCGTGTTCGAACATTATTTTACACTGCAATTGATTAAATGCACCTCGATTCGTTCGATCAAACACCATTCGAGAATTATTCTGATCGATTAACATTGGATCATGTTTCTCATCAATGCAGTCATTTTCCTTTTTATTAGTATTGTAGCAGGATAATCTTACAACGGAAAATAAT